ATGTGTGGTATTATTTGATTTTAAGATATTTAATGTATAATATGCTCAAAGTTGCAATAAATCTTAAATTTTCCAATAAATTATGTGTTTAATTAGTACCCTGGTATACTCGTCACTTCCCTTGCATTCAAATTTAGAAAACACAGATATTTCAGAAACTGTTTGAAAAAGTGACTGGCCCGGTCTGGAACAGTATATTTATTATATTATCTATGTTCTCATAACAAAATACTTGTGGCTCTCTGGTTTTGGCAAAAAAACATAATTTTTTTTAATGAAAAACAGTTACTCCAATGCAAAAATGATAAAGGAAAAACTGTCTTGTTTTGTCGCGTACTATATTGCGCATATATTTATTTACACGTCCAATTTGAATTGGCAAACATCCTCCGAACAGGCATTACCTCTAATCCTCGGGTTTTCAACGGAAAGACGTCTGGCTGATCTGGCCCCGAGAATTTCAACCGCCAGCGAAATTTATGCATCGGAGACGTCTGGCGTGCAAAGACGACGACGACCGTCACGAATGCCATGAAAAGTTTGGAAGAGAAATTTAGGAAGAAAGTGGATATTTACTGTGAACCGATACGGCCTCTTTTAAAATTACACCTTATAGCTATTTGTACTTTCTTACGACCAAAAAGGAGAATCCTTTTATTGCACCTAAAGGTTTTATTATAATTGCCTTATTTAGGTTGTCACAGCTTTTATAAATCCTTTTCAAGAAACACCCGCTTTCAGGAAAATGAAGATCAAAATATTTTTTTTGCTTAAATTGACTTTTGGTTGGATTTTTATAAATGTTTAGAGTTTTGTTTACTTACATTTAAGACAGGCAGTGCACTTTTTTAATTTTTTTTACGTTTTTTTCAGAAAAATGTGTTTAGCTATATATCTCCACTGTGTTACCAATTTAAAATCCAAAATTTAATTCAATAAAAAAAGTTGTTATAAAAATAATTTGAAATAAAATGTACTTAGTTCACAAACTTTTAACTCCAATTTTTTATTTTATTTTGTATTAAAAATTGTATGCTTTTTTTTTAATATGTATGTTCGTTAAGTTATTTTTTAAAAGAAACCATTCCGATTCTTTGTTAAAAAACAATACCATTAATATTTTCTTTTAGTCACTATATTAGTGAATTAAACTCTAATTTGGACGGCTTTCTGCAGAATGGGACCAACCCACACCATGATGAAACTGAGAAAAAATCTATCAAAGATTTTAATAATTTTAAAATTACCTGTTAATTTTATGCCGATTTTGGACTTACGGAGGTTTAAGGGATATAATTTAATAATTTCATCAGGTGGATTTTGTGATGTTATGTGTAAGGGTGACGAAAAAAATGGGCTTTTGTTGGTTGGTTCCTTTCTGCAATTTATGAAAACTACTATCTGATGTATGTATGTATTTAAAGAAAAGCGACAATTATTTATTTCCAAACAAAATACAACTGATATTACTATTATAATGGTAATATGAATTAATTTTGATTCTATTTGAAATTCGTTCACATCATCTTCCAACCCCACCTCATCTTGTAAGCTACCAAAAAAATGCATCAAGACTTTATATTTTGCAGAAGCAGGAAATCTTTAAAGACTTTGGTAGTGGGTCTACCAGCCTGCTTTTTTACAAAAAAGATCCAACCCACTTGCAGATACTGTACAGATTCTAATTTTGGATTAGTAATCCACACTATTATTGAATGTTGGTTGGTTCAATGATTAATAGATTTCACTACACTTGCATTTTGGCTATGACCTATTTTGCAGATAAATTATACATACTTAATTAGTTCATAGGCTAAATATCTCGATTTTTTTGGTTTTGTGGGTTGGTTCCTTTCTGCTGAAAGGCGTCCATTTATAAACACGTATTACCAAGTGATAGTGTATAAAAATCATTTTAAGTATTTTTTTTAACAAAAACTAAAAAAAGTAACTAAATAGACATTGGTATCACAACGGACAGGGGTACACAAAGGACTTAATCAGGGTGGTACGATTTTAGAGTAATGCATAAACAAAATCCCTTGTAGTTGTGCTCACTTGCAGAATAACAACTTAGATTTCTAAATTGTAGACACCCTTTTTCTTTGACTATAAGCTGGTGAAGGTCCCTTTTAACTTTTATATTGCGTGGAAGTTTTCCTTGGATGTAATCTATATCATGAGTTGTAATTACAAATAATTTTAAATTGGTTAATCATAAACTACTTTTAATAAAAGCGACGGTAAATATCCACTTTGTTGTCGAAAAATTCTATTGCGTTACCCTAAATTCCATTGCGTTACAATAAGGTAACATAGTGGACTCGGTAACGCAGTGGACAAAGTTTTGTAAAACTATATTTAAAAAATAATAATAAGACTTTATAGTCATTAATTACTCTCAATGAGCTTTAGTGCCCTAAAATAAACATAAACATGAAACATAGTATTTTTTCTTACCTTATTTTTATTATTTTTTTGAGTAAAGGACAAACAATTATTACATTCGCGTTACCCGCACCTTTTTCAACCGATATCTTCTTCCTGATTGAATAAATAAATTCAGCTGGGTAATGTGTACGTCCGAACATCATTTGTTGATCACGTGAGTACCAAAAAAGTTGCCATATATATGTTTTTTAATATTCTATCGGTAACGCGACGGACGTAACGCAACGGAAAAAATGTCTGGGACATGAGTCAAATTTGAAAAAAGTAGATTAAAATTAATTATTTTATATATAAATTGTTTACTGTATTAACTAAGGATGTTATAAAGCAACACAAAGTTCTGGTTATTCAATATTTAAAAAAAAACATGTATGTAAGTTTTATAAAACGCTAATGGGACATGCGAAAATGTGTAATATATATATATATATATATTAAAAATGGCGACCCAATTATTAATTAAGAGCTTTCACTCCTACTAGCAAACTGTCTTTATTTGGAACTTAAAACTCAACTTGCGAGTTGTTAACATGACGACCCGGGAAATTTGCATTTATCCCTCCAAAAACTCATTACATAAATGGAAAACGTTTCTCTCAGGATTTTTATTACCCCACTCGGCAAACCTCTTCCATACTCTCTATGACAGAAGTTAAGCGCTACCAACTTCTTGCAAACAATATAACTAGGACAATCCTAGCGATATGATGATTCATGAAAAACGTTTTTTGTGCGAAAATTATGTAAATTAATTTACTAGGAATTAAGTATATTTCTCCAATAAAAGCCGCATTTTTAAACTCTTTACAGTGGATTCCTATAAAGGAGTCATTAAAAATTACAAATGAGTCTTGAATTTTTATCAAGGCCTAATTAAGGCGCCAGATCACGAAAACTTTGTAAAGTTCGCCCCCTTAATTGCCAATTACACTTAATTTTATTCAAATGCTTCAAACAGGTCTTTTTTAGAATTTTTAATGCTTCCACCTAACTAAGTAGTTAGTAGTTATCTAAAAAATAATATTAATTAAATATTTGTACAAAGCGACATCTATACGAAAATAAAGTAACCATATCAATAAACATTTTTGACGTAATTGTCACCATTAGCATTTCCCGTGTAAGAATTTTTAATACTTTGTGGTAATATAATAGTAATAAAAAAAATCAAAGGATAAAATATTTTCTTAACAAAATCATATTTTGAAGTTATTTTTAACGGGCAATGTTAATGGTGACAATTACGTCAAAAATGTTTATTTAAATCGCAGTGCCATTTATAGATTCCCGTACCGTAATGACGGCATTCCTTCCTCCCGTAGAAATTTTTAAGTTTTATCTTTCACCGTAAAGGTCTTTGACATGACCAATCACAGTGCTTGTTATGGACATGCGCTGTAGGGTGACAGCGCGTAGACACAAAATATTTAAAATACATGATTGTTTAGTATTATTTAAGATAGGTGTTCAATTTATTAAATAATTTGTGTCTCTAAATAGGATATTTAGATATTGTTTATGATCAATGTCTTTCATTTTTAGAAACGTTGCTTTGTAAAACCCGGAGTTTCCCGGTCTTGGTAAAGTGGGCGAGTCTTCCAACGTCTTGTTCGATGTTTTTTTTTCATTATACTGCCCTACTATGGAGAAAGGCAGTAGGTAACTACAAAAAAATTCTAAATGCGTTTTCTTGTGCTATGATAAAGCTATGGACATTTTGTATCTTAATTCAACAAAGAAATGCAGTAAAATATCTTATAAGTTAAATAAATCAGTTAAATACCTACTGTTTTTTATAAAAAGATAGTTTATGCTAATTTCCCACAAATTTCTTGTTTAGCAGTTACTGCCTTTCTCCATAGTTGGGCAGTATACAACAAGCTGCCTGGGCAATTAAAATTGTGATCACTGCACTAATATATAAATGTTTATCTTTCATATTTTCCCACAATGGGTAAAACGCAGAATATAAACAAAAACAAATGTCAACCATTTTAGGTGTCATCGCGCATGGTTACGGAATTTTACACGAAAATCTATAAATTGACTTTTTACAAGACGCACAAATCGTACGGGCACGACTACGGGAGGGAGGAAGGAGGGCAATCTATAATTCAGGCTTAAAAGAGAAGACAATGTTTTATGGGCACTATACAAAATTTTTAACGCTTTATCAGTTAAATCTTAATAATAATTAATTATTTTTAAATTTAGGATTATTTTACAAGAAAGTAACTTTATTTTAACGATTGTATGACATTTGAAAACTGTCAACTAACTTGACTAAAACCTGTTGCTAACTTCAGCCCGTGACTAAAGCGCCATAAAGCCACAACTTGTCAATTTGTTTTTAAAATTGAAAACATGTTGGTACGATAATAGGCAACTTTTAAAGGTGTATATGTAAATATGTTTTGATTTAAACTGTGACAAAAATGTTTCGTTACTATCCCGGAGCATTCGCCATTTTTGTAACTTTTTATATCGTAACATTAAATTTTAATTTCGTATTCTTAACATTTTCTTACCTTTATTTTTGTTTTTTTCAGATTATATGCATGTAACCACAAATAAGTAGAAGGTGAGTAATGAAAAAATCCATAACAAACTGAACTAACATCTAAAATATTCACAACATCGATTTGTCCCAAATTTTCACACTTGGGGTAGGTACGTTTAACGAAATAATACAAGAATACTTGAATAGTGAATATTACAAGAAAATATTGAACCCACTATTTTATATACATATGGGTGATTCTACAAAACTTGGACAACTTGTTATCAGTCAATAGAGTAGGTATTTTAATATTTTTTGTAAATATTTTAGTAAATTACAAAAGATCCAGTTTTTTTTAACTTGTCCACCCAATTTTAATGTTTTTTTTCAAAAACACGTTTGTAGAAAAACATAATAAATATTCAAAACATAAGTACCTGTCACAACTCCTAAATCAAATATTTGAGTGATTTTATTTTATAATATATTCAATTTAACTTAAATTTTTCAATTTTACTACAAACTATAAAACATTAAATAATGTATTTTTCATATTTTATCATAGATTCAAATAAAAGCAATTTAAAAAAAAATTATAATCTTTGTACACTCTTTCACCCGTCAGTTCTGTTCAATGTTAAAATTCAAAATTCCTGCAAAATATTGAAGTTTAAACGTCAAGTCCTCGTTTTAACTCAAGTGTTGGTAAAAAATTACCTACAGAGCCCGCCCTTTGCACGACAGTCATCTTGAAAACAATGCAAGCGGCGAAGTTGTGGTGAATGCACGTATAGTTCCATTCAAAATTTCAGTACTGCGGTGAGTAGTTATTTTCTTACGTTTATATATTTTATTGTAATTTATATAAATATATATGTGATTTGTTGATAAGAGTCATCCACTAATAAAAAATATCAGTAAAATACTTAATTCCGAATTATAATCTCAAATTTCAGTCAGTTCCATGTTCGATGTTTCGGTTATCTTTTTTTCGCAACTTCAATTTAAATTCTGCTTGCGCAAAATTTGTTTATTTAATGTCATTATAAACTCATATAAATTTGGTGTGGGTCCCATATCTAATAATTGAGATATCGGTATACCCAAAATCCACCAGCCGCCACTGATGTGTGGTATTATTTGATTTTAAGATCTTTAATGTATAATATGCTCAAAGTTGCAATAAAACTTATATTTTCCAATAAATTATGTATTTAATTAGTACCCTGGTATACTCGTCACTTCCCTTGCATTCAAATTTAGAAAACACAGATATTTCGGAAACTGTTTGAAAAAGTGACTGGCCCGGTCTGGAACAGTATATTTATTATATTATCTATGTTCTCATAACAAAATACTGTTTAATTTTCTCCGAAAACTATACAAACAAAATAAGGTAAAAAGTTGCCCAACTTTTGTAGAATCACCCATATATGGACCACGAATGTGAAACACCCTGTATATAAGAAGATAAAAAGGTTATAAATTTTGCTGGAACTCCCCACTTTTGTTCTATTTTCCTTAATGTCTATTTTATCTTTGATGGTAACCTATAAAGATATGAAGAAAGAAAAACTATTTAATTATGTTTGTGGCAATAATAAAATCAATTTTACAAAAGAAAAGCCTTCTTTATTTATATCTTACCATTACTGGGTAATGACTTCTAAAAATATAATTTATAAGTACTAATAATAAAATATTCTTTTTTTTATATCACAAAGGTTATTCTAGTAAAGAATAATCTAATCTTGACTTCATAGAGACAGCATGCAGCTGCCATTTGAGATTAGAGCATTTGAGACAATACCGCCTAAATTTTCAATGGGCTTTGTTTTCCCGCCCGTTCTATATAAACTTGAAGGAACTTATCTAAAAGTTCACATGTGCCGTGTGGTAATTTCCGCAATTAATCAGTGCTAAAATTGTGAACCCAAACAGTTTTATGCACTTTTAAAACTTCAATAGCGCGTACACCAGTTTCATGCATGGAGAGATTAAAATTTGGTTTTAAAACGGTTTTATAGAGTTTTTTAAGAAACATTTAATAATATACAGGGTGTTATGTATTAATGTAATATATTAAAATACTGAATACCTTTTAATATAAGGTAATAGTTTCCCAAAGATAAAGAAAAAATATGCATTAGAACTTTTTTATATTTTTTATATAGTTTTATGAAAACATGCAAAAAAGTATAGTAATTGGACATTTTATAAAGTAATTGGACATATAGTTATTGGACATACAATATTTATATAAACATAACAACTTTACATCAAATAACATAAATTGTTAAATATTTTTTAAAGATAAATTGCTGTTTTAGGTTTTTTTTTATTTAGTTTTTGTAAATATCATATAATTCATATATTTCTTTTTCGGATTCCTCATCCCTTTTCTGGATTCTGAAGGAAACTACTAATTCCTTGGTCTGACTTCTGAAATAGTTTGTTGCAAATATCATTAAGTGTGGTATCTCTAATTTATGAAGCATTTACATATAATGTTTAGGCCGAAACAGGATGATTTATACATCTAATATTTTTTCGGGTGGTATGTTAAAAGTATTTTTCGAATTTATTAATTTTGTTTCCATTAGTTTTTTATGTTCTCTATCACTGTTATTCTGCAAGATGTCCTGTGACGAAGAAATCACTATAATACTTACTTTCTAAAAATGAATTAATCGAAAATGTCATAGCGAAAAAGCAGCAACTAATAATTCTCGTCAACAGCAATTTGTATCTAGGACATTTAGCAGTCAATTCCTATGAAATATTATTCGCTAAATCCGAAAATGTCGTCAAAAGTTATAAGAGTAGAACAGTTTTTAAAATATAATCAATTTTACTTATAATATGGAATTGACTATATCTCAAAAACTGCTTAACTTTTATAGTTTTTGACGGTATTTACGGATTCAGGGGATAATTTTACATAAGAATTGGCTGGCAAATGTCCGGGATACTACTAGAGTATAATATTGGACATACATCCAATAATGGAAATTTACATTTTTTACCAACCAGTATTTGGACACTGGCCATTTTACTGTTTGTTTTCAGAATTAAAATTAAAACGCATTAAAGTGACAATGTTTAAACCCTGAGGAACACATTTATACCACACACTGATCTATACACTTTTTAGAAATATTTTTTATTGTAATTTAAACACAGCCCTGCTCTTAACAAAAAAACAAAAATCTCACCACCAAAGTAACGTGCGAACTTTTTTGTCCTATATTGGACGCAAAATAAAGTAGTTCTATATATACTAACCAAGAAAGTAGCTGCGCGTTGCCAGTTGTAAAAAATTGTTACTAAAAATTTGTCTTTCAAAAAATAAATAAAAACTCAATAAATACAAGAGTTTTATAACCTTAAAGCTCTAATACCCTTTTGTATTTATTTACTCATTCAGCTATTAGCTTAAGCAATGATTAGAAAATTTAGTACCCATTTTAAAAACTCCCTAACCACAAAATTAATTTTTTCATCGGTTTTTTTCTTTATGTTTACTCAGATGAAATTAGGACAAGTTCGCAGGTTAAACTTTAAACATTCAATACATTCAAAAGCTCTTCCCTTAGTTAAAATATTTACAATTTGGGCCCATAAACTTAAATTTGAAAGAAATGCACTAGATTCTGTCATAGTTGCCAGATTTTGTTTGAATTTACCTTCATTACAGAAATTACATATAATCAACAACTAATAAAAACGCCAATGATTAAGCTAAATTTATACAAAATCTGGCAACTTTTTTTACAGAATCTGTAAACGCTAATTGTTACCAACCATAGCATAATAAATTAAGCAACCAGGTATAAATGTGCATATTGCTAGAATCGCAATTTCATAATCTATTCGAATCACAAACAAAAAACTTTCAAAATTAGTTTTGTAAAACAATCAAAACTTTATATTTACACTTCCAACCCGTGTAAAGCAATTTTATAACGCTAAAATTGCATGGGCTTTTAATAGGAAAAACTTTTTATTGAGACAAAGGTATCACATGTTTTTTAGTTAATCTCTGTGTTTCTGACGGTTCTGTTGTCGGCTATTTGCTGTAGAGCATCGCAGGCCACGAAGGTTCCGTTTTCCTTCTTCAAAACGCCATCAGCCACCGCTTGTTCCAACACCCTGTACAGCCTTTCGATCTTACCCTTCGTCCTCCTGATTTTTTTTATGTTGCTTTCCACGACTTGCACCACTTTTCTCAAATTGCTTTCTATGTCTCGTAGCTTTTGTCGCGGAATGACGTGCGATTGGGGGTCTTTAATTATCAAATTCTTCATGCTTACTTCCAATAATTAGGATACAAAAATTTTGACAGTAAAATAAAAGTTAAAAATGTCAAGATTGAGTGTTGCGGCTTGACAAAATTAAAATCATTATTAAATTAGGTTAACAATTAATAAATACAGGCGTCAAAAACAGGGCCTACTAAAAAAATCCACATAAATTTGAATTCTCGATCTTGGATAATTTAGACAAAAAACTTCCATTAATCATCTATTTTAACCTTGAGTTCGGCTAATTTCTTTGAGCAATGTATTGGGCCATTTAGTAAACTTAACATAACATTTCCAAGAATGCAGTAGTGCCAATTTGGCGGGTCAAAATATTTAAGGAATTTCTTGAACATTACAAGCATATTATGGGCCCACTTGGCTTCGAACACTAAATTGAATTCCTTATTAAAAATGTTTTTATATACAGTGTGACCCATTTGTTTGCGACTCACCCCTGTAAAATCTTTATTTATTCGATTCGATTTTAACCGGATTTGTTTTAAAGTGTAGATCTTGATAAACTGTATTTTTGGAGCAAAAACGCCATATTTTTACAAAATACAAGGCTTACTAGTCCAGTTTTTAAGAGTAAATTTTTAAGAATTCCTATTAGCGATTTTCTCCTTTGGAGGACTGATAGACCAACTCATGACTAAGCAGAAAATCAAAATATGACCTTAGTAAAAAATCGTTAGTTTTTGAGATATAGTCATTTTTATGAGTTTTGTAAAACTTGATACCTTAGATCATATTTTTGAGTGCCAAAGCTACAAAATC